TGAACGGCACGGCGCCCGAGGAACCGCGAGCCCAGAGGAACAGGTTGAGGAGGAAGAAGGTCGAGAAGACGATGCCAGGGACGAAGAGTGGTGTGAGCGCAATGTTCAGCTTCCATTTCTCGCCCTGCATGGCCTTGTACACGCGGGCCGAGGTGTAGCCTCCAATGATGCCGAGGAAAGTGTAGAGAATGATCATGATGGTACCCAGGGCGCCACGGTTCGACGGCGACAGGAAGCCGAGAAGGGCGAAGCAGAGTGTGAAGCCGGCCATGACGAAGATCTGGGCGCCGTTGCCGAGAAAGATCGACAGGAGCAGAGGGTGCGAGGGTGTCCGGAAGACATCACCATGTACCAACTTCCAGCCCGAGTCTTCCTGCACACCATCCTCGAGAGCCGAGGTCCCGGAGAGGTCATCGAGGTTGATCTGGTCAAGTCGGTTGTACCGTGCAATATCCTTCCTGAGGGCACGGACAAGAACAGACGCGACAGTCAGAACCAGGAAGATGACGACGATGGCCGAGTTGATCAACGAAAACCACTGGATGTTGGCGCTGTACGGATAGAAGTAGGGATCCATTCGAGTAGCCCATGTTGTCGAGGAAGGGAGCCAGTATACGCTGTAGGTGAAGGTCACTTCAGTGCCGGCGGCTTCGTCGAGCGTGATGGGCGGCGGCGGACGCTGGCATGACTCTGCGGTAACAGCGCCCGTGTAGTGTCGGGAATAGGGCTCAACGAGGACGCCTACAACGCGGAGATGATCGGGGTCGCCGCTTACTTCGTGGTATTCGATAAAGATGTCGTAGTGGTTGTTGAACTCGGTCTTGCCCTCGGGTGTCTCCTGTCCGACGAAGAAGCCAGGATTGTAGTACGGATTCCCGGTGACCTGGTCGATGGCCCGCTGGCCTGCCGGCAACCCGTCGACCATCCAGTTGAGGCTGACACCGTTCCTGATACCTTCGTTCACAAACGCCGCGGATGCCCCACTGTAAGCATGCTTGCACAGCGTCTTGCAGGTCTCGTTGTGCTTCATCTTCAGCTCGAACGGCGATGTCTTTATCCTGTCTCCAAACAGGATGCTTCCCAGGCTCTCCGACACATCTTTTGGCCCGTCTGCCGGCTTGCAGAAACCAAACTCGGGGGTGTAGTAGTCGTAAGAGACGACAGAACGAAGGGGCCCATCCGGGCCGGCGGCGGGCTTGATCGTGTTGACCGTCAGCGGTACGAGATCATCCTTCTTATAGGATGTCGGCGCGACACCGGGGAGGTAGAAGGCGGACGCAAGAGGCGCCAGAAGAAGCGCCGGAGCGCTCCGTCTTAATTGCATGATTTAAGCTGGAGCTTTCCGTGAAGGATGACCAGTCTCGAGGTCTCGGAGCTTCGGAGTGGTCGTGATTAGGGACATTCGACGCGGGGCCGACAAGTTCTTCGAAGGCGTTCAGCCTGGGTCGGATCAGTTGATAAAAGGTGTCCGCGAAGTTGCGTGAGAACACGTCGAAATGGAGTCTTTTGGACAAAGCTCCGCCGCCAACATCGAAACAGCTGGCCAAGTGGGCTTCAACGTTCCTGCCTGTCGCAACACGAAAATTTGGCTTAGTCATCCTGCATCACCCCTGGTGCCCCACACCGACAGGGATCTGGGACGAGACTCTCCAAAAAAATTCCGAGGGACATTGGATTTTTTTTCTTTCGATTCAACTTTTTCACCTGTTTGCGGTCACAAGCTTCCATAAAATGGCGGCGCCTGCGACGTTGCCAGCATTGCTGGATACGCTTACAAAATCTCTTTCCTCGACTCTCGAAGCGGCTCCCAAGCTTTCCAACATCCAGCCGCCCAAAGATGGCATCTCACTCCTCGACGTCAAGAACGAGCTGCTGCTCTCGTACCTCCAGAACCTTATCTTCTTGATCCTGCTCAAGCTGCGCCAGGCGAAAAATGGGGTTCCCGCCGAAAAACACCTCGACGATCTCGTTGTCAAGAAGCTGGTTGAACTGCGACTCTACCTCGAAAAGGGTACCCGACCCTTAGAAGACAAACTGCGGTACCAGATCGACAAGATGCTCCGGGCCGCCGACGATGCGGAACGCAATGCGAAGGCCGCCGAGGCTAAGGTGGACGAATCAGAATCAGAATCCGGCTCCGATAGTGAAGAGGAAGAAGCTGGCAAGATTGATGGGCGACAAATATCCAGCCTTCAGAGCCGTCCGAACCTCGCCAATTTCGCCGTGGAAGGCAAGGCCACGGGTGTGAGCAAGGATTCGTCTGGAGTGTACAAGCCGCCGAGAATCGCCGCTACTGTAATGCCCACGACGGAAAGAAGAGTGAAGACAGACCGCAGGCCCATGAAGTCGGCCACGCTCGACGAGTTCATTGCGGACGAACTGTCAACTGCGCCGGTGGCTGAGCCCAGCATCGGTACGACCATTGTTCAGGGCGGTCGCAAGGTCAAGACGGCCTCAGAGCGCCGGGTCGAGGACGAACGACGCAACTACGAAGAATCCAACTTTGTCCGTCTCCCCAAGGAGAGCAAGAAGGACCGTGCAAAGAGATCCAAGGTCGAGGGTCGCACCAGCCGGATGAACTTTGGCGGCGAGGAATGGAGGGGCCTGGGTGAAGGTGTCGACAGGATACACAGGTTAACGCAGGCGAAGAAGAGCTCGGGCACCAAGGCGTTGCTAGAGAAGAGCCGCAAGAGGGGACGGGACACCGTGGATGGGCCTAAGAGCAGTGGCGAGGGTGCAGTCATGGGTGAAAGATACCAGAAACGCCTCAAGGTACTCGAGTCAGGAAGAAGCAGCAGGGGAAAGAACCGATAATCTCGAGATACAATTCAAACCTCTTTTTAGAAGCCCATACCCACGTCTCTATCATCCCTGACTCCCATGCCGTTTCGAATTTTTTCTTCGGCCTGTACAATATCTCTCGGCAGCATGAAGCCAAGCCCAAAAAAGACAAACAACGCCCACTTCCACCTGAATGGGTTGAAGCATATGCAGAACACGAACCACCAGACCAGCTCCAGGTACGTGAAGAACTCGAACGGGCCGACAGGAGAGGAAAACTTGAGCAGACGGGTCATGTCGATCCATCGCTTCATCCAGAAAGGGCTCGGCCTCGTCAGGGGGTCGACCAGGAACATGAGCAGGATGCGCGTGTAGATGCCAATGTGCCAGTTTCCCACGGTGCCAATGGCGCTCTGATACGTGCAGTTGATGCAAGAGATAGACGGATGGGACGGCGGAAACGTCTGCAGGTACCAGTTCGGCGGCGCATACGGCTCCTGGAAGCACGAGTCCGGCAGAAACGAGAGCTGCGGCCGTTTGTATCCCGTCGCCATGACCACGATATCACCCTCGATCAGCTCCTGCCGCCCCGGCCCGCCCGGCGCGACCCCCTTGGCGCGTCTGTTGACCAGCACCCCCTTCTCGGTGAACTTCTCGATATCGCACCGGACCCACTCGGCCTTGCCGGAGCGGAGTTTGTCCATGACGTCCGAGTTGACCATGGGGGTGTCGGTGAAGATGCCCTTGTCGGCGGGCGCGAGGTCCTGCAGGTCGCGGTAGAAGAGTGTTTTTAGTAATGTCTCGGGGATCCAACTCAGCCTGGTCTCCCGGCCGAAGATGTTGAGCGCGAGCAGCATGTTCCACACGGGGTTGCGCGGTATGATCCACTTGTCGCTGCGCGCGAGGATGTACACCTTGGCGGCGCCCTCCTCGGCGGCGAACTCGAGCGCCTCGACGGCGCTGGCGCCGCCGCCGATGACGATCATGGTTTTGTCTTTAGCTGCTTTGCCCGTGAGGTCGCTCGAGTGGTGGATCTCGCCGCGGAACGAGTCCATGCCGGGCATGTGGGGGATCTTGCGGTCGCCGCAGGTGCCGATGGCGGCGATGACGCCGTCAAAGGTTTCGTCAGTGGCGTTGTTGATGATCCAGCGACCGCGGTCGTCTTGGGAGAGGCGGGAGACTTTGGTGTTGAAGCGGGTGCGCGTCTCGAGGCCGTAGCGCTCCCACAGCTGGCGCACCTGGCTGACGATCTGCTGGCGGTCGGGGTAGCCGCGTTCCCAGCGGACCGAGGGGTGGAAGCGGTACATGAGCGAGTGGATTTGGAGGCTGGACGTGTTGTTCACCCTGCTCCAGATGCCGCCGAGCTGGTCGGCCGGGCCGGATTCGAAGATGACTACGTCGAAGCCGTGGCCGATGCAGTGTGCTGCCGAGGTGACGCCCGTGATGCCGGCGCCGATGACGGCGACTCTGGGCCGGCTAAGGCGGGTACGGGGGCCGGGAGGGCTGGGCGAGAGGATTTTGTCTAGGAGCCATTGGAGGAGCTGGAAGGCGAAGAGGAAGGGGTGGAGGATTGGGTTGTATATTCGCGATTCGGAGGCCATGGTTACGGATTGGGTGTAGTTTGTTCAAGGATAGCATAGGCCGGAGGTTTTTCTTTTCTATCGAGTATTTATTGCAGTTGAAATGAGATATCAGATCCCCTGCCAAGCCTGGTGATGCAAGTTTATGGTTGACGTCATCTCGAGATGCCCCTTTCACATGGGATTCTGCAACACTTTCATACGCGGCAACAGCGTTGCAACGACATGAATTGTGTCAGATTGGGACCACTTTAAAACCTGCCATATGCAATTTTAACTGTCATGTTATCGATCGTCTATGGCTGGTTCCGAGTAGACTGTGGCATCCAACTCTCCAGTGCCTACATATGGAGTCGGTCGGTTTCATGCCGGATAACAAGCTACATTCTGAGCATGCCAGTTGCAATGGCTCGAGGACCCAGGACAAATGGGGACATGGTCAAAACGACTGAGATCTATGCTGTCTTCATTGCACGTAACAAGCACAACCCAACTCCGTAAACACCTCTTTACCATAGAAACGGGTGCAGGAAGGGCCGGGGGGAGTGGATATGGTCTTGTCTCCAGAGTATATCTCTGCGTTCTTGTCTAATGCTATCTTACAATACACAGAAAAGTCACACAAAAAAAAGGGGTGTCTGGGCGGGCTGGGATTCGAACCCAGGACTTTCAATGAACGCTTTTTCTAGGAAAGAGAAGAAAATCAACGCTAATTACGCTCAGGGAATGCGCTGGCCACTACGCTACCCGCCCTTCTCACTGCACTGTAGTGTGATGTGGTTTGAGCTAATCTACCCCGATCCTCTCGGGGGCTAAAGAGGCAAAAAAAAAAGAAAGAAATGTATGGGCGGGCTGGGATTTGAACCCAGGTCTTTCGCTAAACGCTGAAGAGAAAGTAACTGAAAGAAAACAGACGCTGAATAAAACGCTCAGGAACGCGCTGACCACTACGCTACCCGCCCTTTGGAGCTTTCACTGAATAGTGTAACTGTGGATTAAGACTATATACCCCGTTCTTCAATGCTGTGAACGGGTTAAAAAGAAGAGCTTGGGCGGACCCAGGTCTTTCGATGAACGCTTGATATTTCTCCCTCGTCAAACCACCCGTTACGTGACTTATATGAAGAACCTCCGCAAGAAGGGTTCTAAGCACCAAATCTCAGCCCCTGAAAGTCAAACCGATATCATTCCTTTCTTCTCCTCCAAAACATCTATTCACTAATTCAATACATCAATCAATAAAGCAACACCCAACCTAGCCCACAAATCACACCTCCCCCACCGTCCCCCCTCCCAAGCCAACCCATCCGCCACCTTCCAATCCGTTTTTCCATCAGCAGTGACATTCACATTCAACAAAGTATACGCCCGCGAATCCAACGTCCCCGAGCCCCTCTTACCTACCACCTCGCCCCACGGCCTCCACATCTTCTGTCCTGCCGCCGCCGTCTCATTGGTGGTCACAACAAGAGTCGGGTTCCCAGTCGTGATGAACCGGCCCCAGATGGACTGCATCCCGTGCGCGAAGACGCCGTCAAACGGTGAGGGGACCGTGATGTTGGCCGGGTCGGCTTGCAGAGGGACGAGGTCGAGCGCGTGGAATGCGTCGGGGACGGAGAATTGGTAGTGCCATGCTGATGATGGGGAGGACGAGGAAGAGGGTGAGAAGGCGGTGGCGAGCCAGTGGGAGGGGCAGATGAAGGTTGCTTCGGCGTAGAGGTTGTTTGATGCTTGTTGCCTTGTACAGAGACACACAGCGTGTTAGTGAAAAGGGGAAAGGGGGGGAGGGGGATGGAGGGGTGGGGGGGTGGAGGCCACATACCAGCCCACGGCGAAGTGGGAAACTTGTGTCGCGTAGGGAGGGTTCAGTCCGTTTGAGTCGAATTTGGGAGAGGTGGTGTATTCCACTGCCGGGATGGAGTATGCGCTGAGCAGGGCGGTGATGTCGGTTTCTGCGGCGCGGGGGAAGGTGCGGCGGATGAAAGCCTCGAAGGCGGATTGGGTTGTGATGTTTTGGGGGACGAAGAGGGTGCCTTCGTTGGCGTTGTTCTTTTTGGGGGGAGGAAATGTTAGCAGGTTGAGGTTGGGGGAGAGAGGGCATGGATGGAGAACGTACGCTGGTTAGGACGCGCTGGCCGTTTACTCGTCTGCTGAGGAGTGCCTTCGGGGGCTGTTCCCTTAGGAGGGTGCCGTCCGTGACGGGGATGAATGGCCATAGTCCGTAGGTGCCGTAGTAGGTCGTGTCCGCGTTGGCTTTCTGGAGTGTGATAGTGTCGGCCTTCTCGAGGCACTTGAAGATGGACTTGGATGAGGAGATGGATGTCTCGTTGAGTCCGAGACAGCCTGCTCGCCGAGCGAATTCGGTATAATACCCCGTCGGGCCGTCATCGTCGAATTTCCTGCTCTGTGTAAGTACCACCGGTTTGGGATTATATTAACAAAGAAAGGCATACGGCTGCGAGGGAAAGTAAGGACTGCTCGCGATCGCCCTCTTGAATAGACTATTCCCCTCTGTCCCCCCATTCAGTATCGTCATCAACATGACCGATCCGCCGCCGGCGGACTCGCCCGCGATCGTGACCTCGTCAGGATCACCGCCGAAAAGGCTGATATATCTCTGTACCCACTGCAAGGCGAAGCGGATGTCGTGCAGCCCAGCATTCAAGGCGCCCTGGTCGGCGACGTCGGCCGACGCCAGGAAGCCAAAGGCACCGAGCCGGTACTGGGTCGAGACAATTACCATGCTGTTGTTGACGGACTGGCTCACGTATGAGAGGTCCTCGAGACCGGCCCATCCTGCGCCGTAGCCGCCGCCGTCTGATATTGAAAGTGTTAGTCCATCTTATTTAATACCCCGGGCCAGATTCCGGGAGGACAAGCATGCATACGGATGACGACAACCACAGGAAGCTTAGTCGCTCCCCTCGGAGATAAGATATTTAGGAACAAACAGTCTTCATCGCCCAGGACGGTCTCGGTAAAGTTTCCTCCTCCCTCCGGCCCACTATACCGGGGATTAGTCCATTTTTGCAAGAAGAAAGGAGACAGTATCGGGGGAGGCATACAATCCAGTCGGCAGACACTGCGGACATCTTGGTGGCTGCTTGACCGCCTGGATGACCGCGGTACGGTTCGGTTTCGGTGCTTCCGGGAGCTGCCATCGCTTGGGCGGAGCAGCAAAGCGGATCCTGTGCGGTTGTTAGTATCTCTCTGTGATACCGAGAAGTGTGGGATAGTAACTTACCCCTTGTAATCATATCTGTCGAATTTTTGGTTGTATTGCCCCTGATATCTCGAGTAGCCCAGGTCTATGATTGGCGCCTCCGAGGGGTCGGTCGTGGGATCGTCGCAAGCTTGCACTTTCTGAATGATACTTGCAAAAGCATCGCTGGGTATCAGCCAACATGCTGTGAAGACAACGTTCAGTAGACGCATCCCAAACAACGCCGTGCAGCAAAAAGACTACCCCAGTGAGTAGGTACAAAGAATGGAGTCTGACTGCTCTCATTCATCCAAGGGCTATACTCTCGTATTTAATACCTAAGGTACCTAGCTACCCATCGTCCGGCTTACCGGATATACTCTACAGATCCTCGGATACATACCTTACGACCACTACCCCAAACTCCCCCGTAAGTCACACCGCAGGGCGATAATCCTCCCCAAAAGTGGACCTTTTTTTCTTTCCGAACTGGTCCACTAATCACTTCGTATTCTGGAAAGGAACGTGCCAAGTTTTGTAACGTGACGATAATTCCCCGAGCAGTGTGGCTCACGATGATTTGCTATACCTAGCAAGGATCGGAACACGAAGACAGGACATGTATATGTGTGATGAATCATCTTGTCTCACGCCCGAGTCCGAGGCGCCCCGCCCGCTTCCGGAGCACCGCCGGGCATATTTGAGCTTGGCGATGCGAAAGTCTCCGGGCATTCTTTCTTCGCAGTTGAAGAGTGTGAGGTGTTTACGACTTGGTTCTACTATACTTGAATCACGGACTCAGCCAAAGACGCAGAGGAGAGTGGAAGCCACTAAGTTGAGGGGCATGTATGTCTATTGCCTAGCATCAAAGAGCTGATTCCACGCTGATATGATCCCCTACGACGAACCATCCTCAGTCTCAGTCTCAACATTGTTGGCATTTATCTCCCACTTCCCGCCCTGCACTCCACAGATCTCACCCTTCGACACCTCCTCGCCATGCCCGCACTTTTCCACCAAAACCGTGACCTTCCCATCTGCTTTTATCCTCCTCTTTGTACTACTACCCGTTAGCTAAATCCACCCAATAATTCCCAAGAAAAAAAAAAGAACTCACCCATCCAGAACACAAACCCACTCCTGATACACGTCCAACTCCCCAATCCGCTCGTTATACGAGAACAACGTCGCCCCCATGTCATCCCCTCCTCCTCCGCCCCCGCCTGCGTCCGTCCCGTTCTGCGCTTCCCATCCGCACTGGCCCTCGGGGTATACCATGCCCTGACGCGAACACAGCGCGACGGACCCGGTGAGGTCGTTGGAGAGCCGGAAGGTGACGGTGTTGCCGTCCGGGTTGGTGTAGTCTGTTGACCAGTCGGATAGCGTCCAGAGCGGGGTTTTGGGCGTAGGGAGGGTGCAGGCGGGTAGCAGGCTGGAGGACGCGAAGGCGAGGAAGGTGGTGAGAAGGATGAGGAGCATGGGGTGTTTTTGGTGTAGAAGGTTGTCCATGTTTTCAAAGCGGGGGTAGAGGTATGTGGCGTGAAAGTGTTCCTAGATACCTGAGAAATGGTGTGAATTTGATGCTTGTGGCCGCGGAGGGGGAGGTAGCTCGCGGCTAAATAAGAGGTGGATGGTTGGTGGTCGTAGGGCATCGGTGCCTGTCGCTACCTAGACCATAAGGCAGTCTGAATCCCAATTCTCTGTGACTAGTTTGCCGTGAAGATTGTGATCACACACCCGAAAACCATTCCTCCCCGCCTATACAATTCGGATTGTCCTTGGTTTGATATGATCAAGCATTCGGACGACGTGGTTCAAGCTCTTCAGAGTCTTCTCCTCCCTGATATATACCTCGAAACACCCCACCCGGACATATTCATCAGGCCGAGTGTTGGATACATCGACTACGATGCCGTGCAGTGTTGTCTCGAACCGAGCGAGGGCGTCTCTGTTCCGGAAGGCGTAGAAGCAGGCGATCATCAGCACCTTGTGTTTTCCCCCGTCTTCCAGGGCCGCCTCTATTGTTTTTCTGTCTCCGGTAGTGTCCGGCCACAGGTGCAGTATAATCCTGCTGAAGTTGTACTCGTCATTCCATACAATGGCGCAGCTATTCAGACCTGCTATCAAGTCTCTTGGGGTGCACATTTTGGCCGTCATGACCATGTGTCCCGCGGTGACAGCTCCGTAAGGAGCGGAATAGAGAGAAAGAGTGACCTGTGCATCGTCGACAGTGGCGAAGGCGACTCTCTTACTGAGGTCGAGGGGGTAACAAAGGTCCGGAGTCGACTGCACGGGGCCGTCGAGACTTGCCCAGGACCACGACGGGGCCCTGTAAAGTTTAGGTCTGACACAGTCCCTCGTGCGTACGTGCCATAGTAGCTGGTGAATCCAAGACCGTGGTTCATCTTCGTCGATAAGCAGGCCAGCGAAATACACGGATCGTCGCACACGACTTGCCACATACTGGGCAAGCGCAGATACCGCAAGAAGCTTATCTCTTCCCTTAGAGAGTTCCCGGGTAGTGTACTCATCAACTATTTTGTGCCAGAGGTCAGGATATCCACTTTTTAGAACCCTGATGGGAAGAATATTGGGCATCGGATACACAAAGAGGTCACTTGTGTCGTGGCCGCTATTCGTTATTCTGGTCTCGCCACCGCCGCACCCGGCGTAACCTGCGGCGCACTTCCAGTAGAGCTGCTTGCGGGCAAATATTAGAAGGCGCCTAGACATCATCGACTCCTGTAGCGTCCATCCTCG